GAAATAACGCCATTATTAGCCGATCTGCATGCAGATTATTACTTTAGCAAGATTTGTTGTTATTATTAAAAATGGTAAGCTATTTAATAAGATGGCTCTATAGAACACCTATAGAGCTATAGTAACACATGTAACATGTTTAAAATAAGATGGCTACAAATTAAAGCAAATTAAGATATCCCTAGAGTAAGTAAAATACACAAATCATATTGCTAACGGCACACGTACCATTACCATATTGCTCCAAATAAAAACACATACTACCTCCATCCCTCTATTAGAGGGAATTGGGATAAAGGAGAGTGATGTGATTTTTTTAGAAAAGTAGAGTGATGTGGTTGATAGTGAATTGATAAAGTGATAATAAAGTAAGAATGTATTGAAGCCACACAAGTATTATCAAATATGGTATGAGACAAGTTTAGTGGGACGAGTGAAAAGGAAAAATTAGGCAATTATAATGAGACGAAGGGAGTACTACATATCATATTGCTCCGAAAAAAGAAATTCATTTTAAGTAACATGCTACATATTTACTTAACAAAAATTTGTACTATCTCCGTTCCAATTTAGTTAGCCATCTTTGACTTTTCCCGTCAAAGATTGTAAACTTTGACCAATTATTTTAACTAATGTATTTATGTAACAACAACAACAACAACAACATCCAAGCCTTAGTCCCAAAAGATATTGGGGTCGGCTAACATGAATCGATACATGATATCACAACCAAAAAGCGATATTCATATTTCGATTCATGTCATGTGATGTGACTAGGTGATACTGTTGGCCGTCACACGCCTACCACAGCACCCTCCTCCTTTATCTTGGCTTGGGACATGCATGATACCAAAAAAATGATATCATGGAATGTATTTATGTAAAATTGAATAATTTTATACTTTTATATACTCCGTATGATAGTATATTTAACAAAGAACATTTTCATATCATTTTCATATTATGAATACTATCTCTATAGAAACATATAATCGGTCAAAGTTAAAAGTCATTGATTTGAAAAGTCAAATTTGACTAACTAAAATGGGACGGAGGGAGTATATAAATAATCGCATTATTAAGTTTATTCTAAAAATTGGGTACCATAATTTTATCGTAGGACCAATATCTAGTTATCCATCTACCATGCATGTCAAAAATATCGATTTCGATGATTTTCAACCCTGAAGCATTGAATGGAGGGTTCGTGTACGTGTGATACTAAGAAGTACGAGCGCGCGCGTGAGATGATTTTACTAGATAGAAGGTAATTTCAATTGTATTTCAAAATTTACCTTCTCAATTAAAGTTTGTGTAATTTTATACTTTGTGTAATTTGAACATATTTTTGCAGTTTAAGTGTAAATATATTGTAATGAAATAATTATTTTATTCAAATTTAATTTACTAAATACGAATTTATAATAAAATAATTTCTAATTTATCTAAAAAAATTGTGATGATTAAAGTTTTTTAGTGATGAAAAAGGTAGTTTCAGTGCTTTTTCAAAATATAGCTACATAATTGAATAATTTTTAGTCCAGAACTATTTTATTAAATACGTCCTCATAATTAAATAATAATTTTTAAAATAGAAAAAAAATATTTCCATAATAGTTTGTGCTAAATTATGAACAAGCAATGTTAAACTTGATTTAATTTAAATAGTTTGTTTAAGTTTATACTTTGTGTAATTTAATGAAATTTGTCATGGTCACTTCAATATATATTCATAATTAAATAATTATTTAATTTACTAAATCCATCTCAATAATAGAATAATTTCGGATTGTCTCATCCTAATGATTAAATAATTTTTCTAATGTTCTCAAAAAATGATTTTTCTAAATCATAAGGTAATTTCAATGTGTTTCAAAATTTAGCTTCATAATTAAATAATTTTGTAACATTAGTTTAGCAAAGAAAACTCTTTGATCAAATAACTAATAAGGAATCAATATGAACAACATGCACGTTCAACGAAGTAAATTATGTTATATAATATGTTATTGCTCATATTGCTGAGAAAGATAATTTGATGGAGTTATGTTTGCGAACGACGATCCAAAAAATGGGATTGTAAATATTGTATAGGAAGATCTGGAGTACGTTAAATTAAAAAAATATATGTCATATATAGATCACATGTATTAGACTAATTTATTTAATTACATTAATTGTACTACATGTGTTGTTCTAGGGATGTACATTGTAGGGAGATGTGGAGGACTACATGTGGTGGCATTATCTGAATAGTGAGCATAGTGAGCTGAGGAGCCACTTTTTGTTATTTTTGAAATTTGCTCAACCATGCATGATGTTCAATGGCCATATATTACTTTAGTTTTTGTAAAGTTATAATAACATATTCAATGAGTTCCGATTTGTTTAATTTAATTTCCGTAGTTTTAAAATAGCAAAAAGCTATTCTAACACTTACAAGTGATGTTGTAGAGCTTATCAATAGTTATATGATCTTGATCTCATTAATGTCTGGAGAAATGAAGACATATTTGAATTTTGAAGTTTATGCTAACTTGAAGGCAACATTTAATTCACCGAAGTGCACACTTAAAAGTTTTGTTAACACCATCAATGCATCAGGGTTACCTAATCATAAATTGGAGCTAAAGGTCAGTGTTCTTAATATGTAATGAGAAACATTGACAAGTCCTCTGTCTTATGTATTGACTCGCCTGATTATTAACCTGTTGAGAAAATGTGTTTTTTAGGTGAAGGTTATATCCGGCAATAGTATTGTTCAAAAAGTTTTGATTCCACAATTATCATTGATCCCGTCATATAGCTGAATTTCTTTCAAATTTCAATATAGGAAATTTCTAATCTTCTGCTTTTAAGCGCTGTCAATTAACGGTGTCATGTCAAGGGTCAAATGAAGAAGTGGACTGGAGATTCTTATATGTGACGACGAAGGTCATGGTATCAATACCACCAATAATGTGATTTATAAATAAGTTTTTGTAAAGTATAAACATTTATGATTCTTCTGTTTTATAGTTTTATGAGACTTACCAATAATTATATTATAATTAAGATGTTTTAATCAAGACTTATTTCGGTCTCAGACTAAATCAGATCCGATCAAATTGTATCAGAAAAAACCTAAACACACTAGACTAGAATAGACCAGATTTTGACTATTTTAAAATAAACAGAGACTAGGCATCTTCCAGACCAGATCAGTTCAAATCAGTCTTAAACAAATCAGACAAATCTAGATCGAAAAAATTCCATTTTAAGTAAAAACATCCTCAAATCCATTATTATCACATAGAACTTAATGTTACACCTTATCATTTATTTTACTTTTTACTTGCAATTTTCATTCAAACCAAATTTAATTTTTTTACAACAATAATTACTATTTTATAATCAAAGCTACAACATATAAACTATACCTTCTTTTTATTTGACATAAATACACAATACATATCCTTATAATAAAATGTTATTCTATTCTAGATACCTCGTGCACGGGTAATTCGTCAGATGATAAATTGATCAATTTTTTGTGAGTGATGCAATTTTAGTCCTCAAATTTAGGACTGCTGACATTTAATCTTCTATGTATTGTGAAAACTAATAATTTTTAATTTTAATAATCCATATTTTCAACTTACCAATCAACTTTTAATTAAATATGTAATTTATATTTTGTGCATAGAATTATAATCATCAAAATTAATAAGATTAAAATTACTTTTTTTATTGAATTATTTGAAACTACTGTAGAGAATCATTTTAGCTATTTTCATCTTATTTTTCTTTATTTATCAATAAAATATACGTAGTGTTTTAGTATAATTCATTCATAATTCAACAAATTTAACCAATTAAGATACTTTAGTCAGAATTCTCTCAATTTTAAACTGACTCAGCCAAATTTAGTGTTATCAAACGAACTTTTAATCAATACTACCTACATTTCTAAACAAGAAGTTGTTGACGATCCAGTTATCCACCTACGGGATTGACAGCTCTATATAGTCATCACCTATTTTGTTACGTAGTACGGAGTGATATTTTTCCTAGCTTGAATGTGATTAATAGATCTGTGTATGGATAGTTTGACTCTTTCAAAAGGCTAAAGCCCATGAAAACCCACAAAAATAGATGATGAACCGTTTACAGAACGATTCCAAAGTCTGTAAATATTGTTAGTCTAGTAATGGCATTGAAATCCATGAAGTAGTAAGCATATAAGAAAAATTCTTTTTGTACCCAGCCCTTATACCCACCCCTGTAAGAGGCTAATTTTTTGTCTGAAAATATAAGTGTGTATAAGGGGTGGGTACAAGTAGCAAAACTGAACATGTAAATGGATTAATGGACAGTTGGACTGATGGAGTCGTTTTTTATTATCCTCCTAGAAAAGAACCTCTCTATTTTTGGGATTTACTGAGTAAATAGTTTTTACTTACCTCCTTGAAAACAGAGCTTTTACCTATATAAATCTCTGTGAAAGAACAGCGAAGATGTGTTTATGGTTGCAGCCAAAGAACTAATATGTTCACCGAAACTATCAATTTAATGTTGGGGACACCAGTATATCCAATAAGGGTGACTTTGGAGTTTGGACGGGGTTTCGGAGGAGAAGACAAGCCTCAGAGTCGGAGACCTTAGTCTATATCTATATATATCCTGATAATACAATGTTTCTAAATACGAATATGATGATTACCTATGATATGTCACTGCTTCATTTGAAATATAAAATCTTTCATTAACTATCAAGATAAAGACTTAGTTCTCCAACACCCTCTCTCCAAAGTCCAAACACTGACTTTAAAGGTGAACAATTCTGTGTCAAAGGGGTTAGACATTCTACAGTGACATGGATAAACATGAATTGAAGTGATATAGGTAGTATAAGAAAGCATTGGAGATGAAGGTGAAAAAAGAAGCACATCATCATTTAGTAGAATTACTTGACTTCCAAAGCTCTCAAGCTAAAAAATAGAACAAAGGAAACCATGTACCTGATCATTGCCTTGAACACCATACATAGATGGATCTTCAACAAAATGAAGCAACCACAACCACTATAAAGAAATCACAAACCACAAACTTTCTTTAACAAAAGTTTCATTCCTGTTATCCTTCACCATCACATGCCTAATGTACACTCTACTACAGGAAAATGTAACTGAATTATAAAAAAGGTTTTTAGGCGAATTACTCCATTCGTAGAAAAATAACAACCTTGATTGATAACTTAATTAGTGATCAAGTAGACAAAACCTCTACTCATTCTTCCAAGCATATAACACTAAAGAAAAACCAAGACCTGGAGACTTGGAACTCTCCGAGTAAGAAGGCCAAGCCAACACAGAATCATCTGATAGCGACTTCCCTTTCCACAACTTCTCAGCCGAAGAACATGTTTGGAACATGAAAACCGCCGCATTGCCAAAGTTGGTCCCACCAAACAGCCATTTATGGACATCCCAGAAAACTTCAACCGGAAGCCCATCAACCAAAATCGTATAGTTCCCACGGAACTTCCAGAACAAATGCCTCACTTGCATCACAGTCTTACTATCAACACGGACATAAAGGGATCGGTCATCAACCCCATTTGTATCACACTCGATCATAAGGTCATGTACTGGACCACCATCCCAAAACTTAACCTTTGTCCCAAACACCCTTTTCCCAAAAACATGTTCCTTCTTCGATACTAACAAGGCATTAGGAAAAGTGGCATTTGCATTAGTCTTCTTGAATGCCTCTTTCCTCATATCCCCAATAACCAAAGCCATATCCCCATTACACACTAAAGCTATGTAATACCCTTCAGAAGGTTCCGGGCCGGATCCAAACTTCGCCCCTGATAGATCCCAATAGAGATCGATTCTACATGAGCTCACTTCTAAGGACTTTGACCCTTTTCGTTTTGAGAACAAAGAAGGCTTAACATCAACTTTACAAAGGCAATGGTGAGAGGAATCGTCTATCCCTACACTAAGGCATTGACCCATCAAATTCTTGCTCCATGAAATCGTCACCGAACAGATTTTATGGAGAATTCTACACTGGTAAACGCAGGTAACTAAATTTTGAGGAGTTTTATTGACCCCAGAAATACTTGAACATGAAGTATCGGCAACTTGAACCCCGTTTTCGCCGAAACAAGAAGGAAACTCCCTCATCTTAAGCATAATCAGGCAAAAATACCCCCCAGATTTAGTCTTTTCCTGCCAGATTCTTCGATAATCATAAACAATAACTGAATCTGTATGTGCTCTCTCAGCAGCTTAAAAAAATAACTGCAAAATGAGTATGGAATAAAAAAGGGAGAGGCGGGTGCATACCGATACGGATTAGGATGGAGAAATCCAAGAAAAAGCTCTCAACTTTGGATGGTGAAGAAGCGAGAAGGGTTTGGGTTGTGGGGATTTTTAGTTTATTATTTGTTGCTTTAAGAGCAGGAAAAAATGATGAAATGCCCCATACCCATATTTTCTAAAAGTAGCAGAGGAATCATACTGCGAATAAAGAGAGGACAAGCTTTGCTGTAGATTAGGCCAAAATGCCAAATTTTGCGGGGGTAGCAAAAGCAGGGGTTTCTTGCAGCCACTGTACACTTAAGGAAAGTATGGTTGAATATGTTTTCTAAAGTAGAGATTAGAGAACATGTATATTCTTTTTAATCTTGGTCAAGAAAAGTAAAATAAATCGAGCCTTGGTGGATATAAGTCATCTACGATTGCACGCTGAGTATAATAAATTTATGACCAGTTATTAGTTATGGAATGTTTTTATTGAATTGGTAACTTATGGTTGAAATTAGTGAACTTGTTGGATCGTTGAAAATACTTAAGGAAAGTATGGTGGTATATGTTTTCTAAAGGAAATTAACAACATAATTAAGAGAAAATAAGGCCTTATAATATTTCAAATCAATCACTTAATTAACTCTTGTGTTACAATTACTTTACTATGTAGTACATTAAAAAAGTACACTTACTTCAAGAACTTGATAAATTTGAATGTTTATTCAGTTTTAACCTGAAATATGAAGGTTTTAATTTTAAAAAAATCTAAAGAATTACTAAAATTTGAAGAAATATAGATAAAGAAATTTAGAATGTCAAAGTCAGAATTTTTAAAATTTTGAAATTATTTTCACTTTATTTTTTGTTTTCTGTTTTTTTTTTAATATTTTGACGTTTTTAATTTATTTATATGTTTTAACATGTATGATATTTTTTATATTATTATTACATTGTTTTTCGTATTCATGTGAATTTTTATAAGGTTTATTTTTTAAAAAAATAACATGCTATAACATGTCAAAATGACTTGATTTATTGTATTTAAAAAGTAAGCTAGTGTACTTATATGATGCTCTTTTTAGGAGAATGGCTTAAGTGATAAATTGAAAATAGTAGAAGAGTCTATTTAACCGTTTTCTCTATAATCAAAGGTTCTACTTGATTTATTAGTTAAATAAAATTCATATAAAGAAATACCACTAAAGTTGGTATGAGTATAATGACATCTTTAATACTACAAGTCTACAATGTTAAATTAAATACAATCAAAATTACTAAAACCTCCTAGTATTGCCACTCCAAAATTTTCATTTAAAGTTCTAAGTCGTTACAATTATTATTATTTTGGTAGAAACATAGGAGCATTAGCTCCCACCTATCATTAATATCAAATGAGGCTGGGAAATTCGAAGCAAGTCATACAGAATGTGTAATGATAATCAAGAATCGGCATTAGAAATAAAATGAATGCCAAAAGGTAAACTATGGCCTAGACTAGCTAAAAAGTCTGCTGCCCGGTTATCCTCCCGGTAAACATGCTCAACTCTAACAGTCCAATGTCGATTTAAAAGCTCACGAAATTGTGCAACCTCAGAAGAATGTTAGTGCGCGCGCTCACCTTTTGGCATCAAAAGTTGAATATCTGCATGTGAGTCCAACTGCATTTGTACCTGGTTATATCCAAACTCCCGAGCAAAATGTAATCCTTGCACAACAACTCTTAATTCAGCCCTTGTTATCGAGCAAAAGCCCAGGTTCATCGAGTATGCTGCTAACCAGTGACCATCGGAATCACGGAACAACCATCCTACAGCTGCTCGTCCAGTATCAGGAATAACTGACCTGTCAGAATTGAAAGCCACCCAGCTGCTCGACCAAGAGATATCAACCATCATTTTGGTCGGTAGCCCGATATGTGTAGATTGGTCATGTATCAAAGCCTCCTCAATAGGCTCAGCCCAATGTCGGACACGCTGAGCAAGAGACTCAGGGGTGGTGTGGGTATTAGTAAATATAGCCTCATTTCTGGCCTTCCAGAGAGACCAGCAGGCAACCCCAAAGAGAAGACTATTGATCGTTGCCTTGAGTGGTGTGTGATCAAAGGAATAAGTGGGGACTCCCAGTTCGTTCGATTAGCAGTAAGATAGGCAAGAAGTTCCCAGGTGTTAATCGCGAAAGGATCGGACACTCCCGTAGCACATGCAGAACTATTTCCTGGTGTTGATTACAGCATGAGCAAACACCCTCTGTTGCCATATGTCTACGTCTTCAGTCTTCTTTCCTCATTAGTAACTAATCGATTGTGTGCCACAAGCCAAAGAAAATTTCTAATACGATTGGGGTCACGCCAACGCCAAACCACTCTCCAGTCTGTTAATTTGTCCACTAAGTAGGGCGTAAGCTGACGACACTAGCACAAAAAAGGCTTTTCACATCGGTCAAACAACCGATGTGATTACAGCTCATATGAAAAGTCCCTACATTTTACATCGGCTGGGTAACCGATGGCAAAAGTGTTTTAACATCGGTTGCGTAGTCACTGATCTTGTAAATCGTATTAAACCGGGAATACCTACTCCATGTCACATCAGGTATAACCGATGTGATTACTTACACATCGGTTGTTTAGATAACCGTTGTAAAAGGTTTTTATTGTAAGTCAAGCATGACTGCTCTACATCAGTTAATTGATGGAGTGTGTGGCCCAGGAACCCCCGGCCCATATACTCTCACTACTGTAGCAGAGGCCCAATAGGCCCAGGAAGCACAGCAGGCCCAAATCATGGTGCCCCAAGTGCCAAGCAGCCCACGACGAACACTGGGGGTGCCTTCGGCCCCCTGGCCGAAGGCTCATAAACTTACAGTACAGCTTCTTTAAAGCCCTCAAAGTGTCTGGAAGAAAGCGGCAAAAAACAGTAGCCCTCGGCACCTAGAGCCCTCAGCACCTAGAGGCCCCCGGTATGAAGAGCCTTCGGCCAATGATCTACGGCTGAAGGCATCTCCTCGACAGAATCTCCCACCCACATGCGCTGGATCAACGTACTGAGTACAAACGTCACATCCAACCACCGCATTTATTGCGGCCACATGCGAGTGCCAGTGCCACCCCATTGAGGTGACCCCTCGACCACCAGAATGATGACACATGTCTCTTATTTTCGCTCTGACTTCTCTCTAGTTACTCCCCGCAGTAAGCCCTCGGATAGATACCCCCCGGGTACACTTATCCCTCATTTGGTGCTCTCGTTGAGAGGTCGAACAATCAAGTAAGAAAACCTCCCCTTCAGCTAAAAACACCTATTGAAATGGGAAGAACCACCCGTGCTCAGTCCAAGAACCTTGAGGACAACAACCTGGCCCTCGGTGAAGTCAACGCCCCCGGAGCCTCTAACAAGGCTCCCGAGGGCGGGGTCATCACTGAGTTGGAACAGGCTGTTGTTGACATGCGCCTTCAACTCCAGCAAAACGCTCCTGATGCCCGCCTTGGCATCGAAACCCGAAGGAGGGACCGGAGCGAAAATCAAGTGAGCCCTCCGGTTCTCACTATCGACGTAAGTCGGCATTCTCTGCCTTCGGCACTCTGGTACCCCTTCAAACGCAAATCGGGGAGAACGCTGTTCTTCTCCCACGGCCACCCCCCTTCGTGAACCCTACCGCTCGGGTGGGAAACGACGAAGGGGTCGTGGCTCTAGACACCGCATCCCAGGAGGTCCAATCCCGGGACCAACGCGGTGCGAACAAAGAAAGGCCTCGGACCTCAGCCCTCGAGAGGCTCGGAGGAGCGCAAGTCGGCCAAGGGGTCCAAGACCGCCTTGGTGGAAAGGCGTCCCAAAGACCCCAAGAGAGCGGGGGATTCGTCTCAAGAGCAAACGAGAGGCGTCCCCATCAGGACAAAGGCAAGGCACCACTTCATGCCGATGACGCAAGGCACCAAATCAATGAGGCCCACTCGGCCCGTGTTCGTTCGCAGGGGGTCACCCATCCCAAGACTACTCTCGTGCAAGCACGCTTAACTTTGGAGTTCTTGGGTGATGAGCTCCCTTAAAAGGAGATGCACCTCTGTTGGTATGAGTAGTACTATTAATCCTCTTATATTAATCTCGGGTATTACAATCACTCCCACTTAGGATCGCAACGTCCTCGTTGCGCCCTTAACAATCTCAATCAAACCCCAGAATCTTGCCCCGCTAAATGCCCGCCCGATATCTAACGGGTCAGTACACTGTCGCAGGGTTGCTCTGATACCATTTGTAACACCCCGGCCTCGTAGGACCCGAGGTAGCTACTCTAGACCAATAGTACTGTCCTCACAAACCACCACGAGCCTTTACCGCGCACTTTGTCCTCACTCATGCGCGCCCTGAGAAACTTCCCAGGGGGTCACCCATCCCAAGACTACTCTCGTGCAAGCACGCTTAACTTTGGAGTTCTTGGGTGATGAGCTCCCTTAAAAGGAGATGCACCTATGTTGGTATGAGTAGTACTATTAATCCTCTTATATTAATCTCGGGTATTACAGAGGCCCTCCCGAAGGATCCCAGGGATGAAATCATTGCGGCCCTCTAGCACCGGCTTAATGAGATGGAGGCTCATCGAGCGCATACCGCCGTCGCCACCCCTCATGCAGATCCGAAATATGAGACCATGCTGGCCAAAATGGAGGAAATGCGGAAGAAAATATCCGAAGGCTCCGGGGAACCCGTCATCCAACTCCGGACTAGGATGCCATTTACCCCAAGGGTATTGGCGGCCCAAATTCCGGAAAAATACCGGGGGCAGCCCATGAGGCCCTATGAAGGAAAGACGGACCCTCAGGAACATTACAACCGCTACCAAAACAGCATGATGATGGTGGGGGCATCAGGCGAATATTTGTGCCGTTGGTTCCTTTCCACCTTAGAGGGACCAGCGTACGAGTGGTTCAATCGATTGCCCGAAGGCTGCAATGATTCATGGCAAGAACTCGCCCAACGTTTCCTGACGCAGTTTGCAGGGAGGCGCCGGTCAAGGAAGCACTTCTCCCACTTACTAACAGTAAGACAAAGGAAGGAGGAGACCCTTCGGGACTTCTTGAAGCGCTGGAGGACGGAGGCGGAAAAAGTTGACGGCGGTGACGATGGGACCCTCCTGACCCTCCTTCAAACAGTCCTTCGCCCCGGGAACTTTTCACGGAGCCTCATCATCGAGCCTCCTCGCGATTACATAAGGGCCCTGCAGCGGGGGGGCCGGTACGCCGAGGCCGAGGAGGTGGAAAAGAGTCATCACAACCCCGATCAGCAACGCCCTCGGCCAGATGACAAGGGTAACCGGGGGGCGGGGGCTCCCCATA